AACCCACAGGAAAGGAAGAAAGAGTATATATAATGCCAGAGGATAGAGTGCAGAGCTGGTGGAGAGGGAAAGCAGTCAGGTCCCTGACAACTGCCTTCTCTTGGTCCTGGCCCCTTCCTGAGCCCAGACCCTGAAAGCCCTTTGCAGATTCAAGACACTTTGCGACCACCAAACATTGGCTCCAGACTGAAGCTTCTGTATGCCCTGGCATGGTGAGGGCTGTCAGAACATTTTTCCAGGCCACTCTTCTGCTAGAGGTGGAGAAGGGAAAGCTGTTCTAGTCTGTCTTCAAAGACAGCTTGACTCGATCGGGACATCAGAACGGTAATACCAGGGAGGTGGGGGCCAGGGTTGTCTGGGCTCTGGAAAGAAACCCTGGCCTATAGCTTTAGAACATTCCCCCCATGCTCCCTAGTTTCGGGCACTGAAAAGAACCTCAGAAGAAATGAGCAGGATTTTAAAGCAAGCACCTCTAGAAAGATGGGGCTATCGCTGCTGCTCTTTTCCTTGAATACTGTCTTAGTACAATTTCCTGTTGTAACCTTTAAAGACATAGCATATTGTGGGTCTGGTTTTTCTCATTTTTCAACTACTAGTTAGTATTCCTCCAACAAAGGTGAGGCAATCAAGGGGTTTTCTTTGTCAAAAGTAATCCCAATTACTATGTAGTTTCAAAGGCGAGAAAATATGCTTTATGAAGATGGGGTAAGGGGCTCAATAAGTAAGGGGGGGATCTTCTTCCTTGCTCATGAAAGCCTGCAAAAGGTTAATTATCTGCACACAGCTCAGCTCCTGGATACCTAGAACAAGGAAGGTGCTTCATAAATATCCAGCGAAAAAGCACATGAAAGCCAGCCAGCTTTTCTCCTAGCCTTCATCAGGGCCTACATAAACCCATGAACTGAACTCTGCAAATGCAAAAGGCCAGAGTGGCTAAGCTGCCTGTAGGTGCTGTTTGGAAAGATGGCATCAGCCCTGGCACAGGCTCTGTGTCTGCTTGTGGACAGACCATTGACAAGGAAAGAAGTCACCTTGGAGAGGCGAGAATGGCACACAAAGAACGACCACCGCACTCCTCCAACAGATGCATCATGCCCAGAGCACAATTTATTTTTGTCTACATCACGTGAGTTACAAGAGATGCTTTGCTCAAAATGCACTGCTCAACAGGAACAAAAACTAATAAATGTATCCTCCGTAGTTCACTTTGGGGTGCCTGACCGCGTAGACTTTGTTGTCCCAACATGACTGGTGTTTTTGTGGGTTTGGTAATCAGCCTCAGTTTGACACAAGATGGGAATTGAAAAGAAACCTGGTATGCATCCAGTATGTCTCTGCATAACAATACACTGATTTCCTCTGGGAAAGGCCAGTATCAGACAGTCTTGGCCTCAGAGACCTCATGCATGTGCAGGTAAGGTTCTCACTGAAGAAACAGATAGACTATTTCGATCTTAAACAGAAGAAGTTGGAGAGTACCATATTACACCCTGGATTCACAGAAGAAACTGGAAGGTTTTCCCACTGGAACCTGGGAAATAACCCTAGGGGTTGGCATGGGTCAGCAGTGGCCTATTCATGTCCTTGCAACTTTATCAGTGATGTCCCAGACTTTCTCTCCACATTTCTTTTCCCACCTCTCGTTGATCCTTAAGATAGTCTGAAAAACAGCTAATGAGTTCTTGGTGCGAACCTGAACTCTGATTTGTAAATGAACCTGCATTTCCCAACTGAGGTAATATCACAGAGAAGCTGAAGGGCACATTTCAAGTACACAATGGAGTCTGAGGAGCTTCGGGCTAACTTTGGCCACAGCGCTGTGGTCAGGGGCTTTCTAGCTATAGAAACTTCTGCCAGAGTGAGTTCCTTCCCTGGATGGGCCGTAGTCACTCAGATAAGGCTCAGGAGTGTGAGAAGCGGGTGGCATAAGCAACATCAGAACCACATTCTCTGGCCTTCCAGAAGATCTTCCCAGACAAGTTATCTTGCCCTCTTTATGCATGTACTTAGTTTTAAAAGTTTTCTGTGTATAAAACAAACCAACTTAGTGCTGGTAAAGATGGGATTAGTAGTACAAGATAGAGAAGGGCAAACTATTTTCATACCAATCCACTAAAACTTGAGGGGCAAAGGAACACTAATTCTTATCTCTATCAATGGAAAAACTGAGGACCAGAGATCCAATACCCCACATTTTCCCAAGTAAGATCTGGGTTCTTTACTGCCTCATGGCAGAGCTTGGGTGGGACTCATGGTCTTGTCTCTCTGGGTCGAGTCAGGCAGCAGAACTGACAACAAGTTGGTGCCCGAAGACCCAACATCTGGTGTAAGGTGGTGTGGAATTCCTAACTTAGCGCAGCTCTTTGCTATCCTGAGATGATTCAGTGATAGCAACAGGACTTAGGAACATTCTGAATTGATTCTCAACAGCTATGGGGAAATTTTAGTTCAAAAAAGAGATGGAGATGCAGGAGCAAGTTGGGATTGTTTGCTAGGCTCTTGTTTTGACACTTTCATTTTCCTTCCATTGTAGATGAAATGAGATGGTAGGTGCATGTTCCATGCCAGTGGGCAGTTACCCCCAGACAACTTCAAGTCTTTGTCTAACCTCTCACAGCTGTACCCTAATCCCCAGCTACACCACGGGTCTGCTCAGCAGGCTCACACCTTTGGAAGCAACGGGAACCCTCAAAATCAAGAGGTGAACAGTGTGAGGGAGGCAGAGAAAAGGATAGGAGGGGGAAAAGGCGGTGACCAAGAAGGTTTGTGACCACACACTGTCCAGAAGATTAAAAGAAATCCCTCTTGAGCCACCTGGGAGGCTTAGTTTAGGGGATAAGAAGGCTGAGAGTGACCCAGGGTGGGAGTCTATGAACCAGAGTGTCCAGATAAAAATATCTCAGTACCTGTGTCCCACTGATTCACAGATCTTTTATGCATTTAGCCTCTGCAATGGACAACAGACTTTTTGAAAACAAAGGACAGTCTAGGAAGCCAGGTTAACTTTCATGGACGGCCAGCAATAGTGACAGTCATGCACCTTGCTGCTTTTCTTTTGGACATTGGATGAGAGGTTCACTTTTTGTGATTGCTCTCATACACCACTTAAGACCTACTCACTCCCCAGTAGGTCTTTCTGCAAAGAAGAAAAATCCAGGGGTAGAGAAGCAGGGAAATAAGTCCACATGGAATCAGGATAACCGCAGGCTACTTTCCTGGGTCTCCCACAATAGGACAGGAGACAGAAGAGTGTGTGTGTGTGTGTGTGTGTGTGTGTGTGTGTGTGTGTGTGTTTTCTTTTCCTGCTTTGTTGATAGCCTTCAAAAGAAGTCATGTACAGTCTCTGCTGATTTTCCTTCTTCCTCCCATCCCTGCAGACTTTGGTTTGAGTTCTGTCCCTGACACACACCCACTTCCCCTGAGACCCCTTCTTCCTGCCCAGCCCCACATTGGGCACCCCTCTGTGAGTTTGTTTGATTTATGGCTCCTGTTAGGGAAAGATGCTTTTCAGTGCTGACTCAAGGGGGACCCTGAGGACAGAAGGGAGCCCAAGGGGCCCCAGGGAGTGAGGACATCTCTGATGAAAAGATGAGCAGGGACAAAAGCCTGCCTCTCCCCAGGCCTCCCTGTGACATCCTAGAAGATGTAATGAGGCTCCCCCTCCTGTAAGACAGGGAAAGTTGAAAAAAGAACCTCTTTAAAATATGGGATTTATTTCCTGGCTGCAAGTCTACAAGGAGGCTTCAGATTTCAAAGATGTGTAAAAGGGTTTTGGTGGAGGCTAGGGAGAGAATGCCTAGTTGACAGCTGGCCTGTGGGAACGTCCTGGGGACCTCTTGCTTCCCAGTCCAGGGAGGCTCCAGAGGTAAAGAGGAGCAGGCAGATGGTGCCAGGAGACACCCCGAGTCTACGCAAGCCCCTCTGGAGTGCGGGGCAGCTCTGGGACCAGGTGCCAGCCCAGGTAGAGCTTGGAGGGGACATCTGTTCCCAGGATGCCCAATAGGAAGGTGAATGTCAACTTTCACCAAAAGGGTGGGTTGAGATTCTTCCTTGGAAAGCAGGTACCAGGAGAGGTACTATTTGCATTTCCAGATGGCTTTGGGCACGAGTTTCTTCCTAATTTGCAATTTATTACAATTAAGATGTCCACTAATATTCTCTAGGCTAGAGAAATCAGGAAGGCAGATGTAGTTTTCATTTTTGGGGTGGTTCTGGGAATTGAACCCAGGGCCAGTGCACGAAGACAACTAAGTCACTCGGTTGCCCAAGCTGCCCTCTCTCTACCTTGTGATCCTCCTGCCTAAGCCTTCCAGAGTGCTGGCATTACAAACCTGTCCCACCACACCTGGCTCAGAGGTGGTTTTAAGAAGTGACTCTCTTTCCTAGACGTGCTATCTGGCAGCATCCCTGGCGTCTGGGTTGCGGTGAGGACAGGGTAAATGGAGGCAAACTGACCTCAAGACCCCGCGAGCTAGGAGCACTCCACAGCCACTGGCACTGCTATGGTGCTTTCCCTCTGTGGTTTTAGAAGTTCAGTCAGGCTTTCCGACAGAAACCTTGCTTCTGCTCACTGGGTTTTGTGGCTAACTGCTTGAGCCTTTGCTTTTCTTGTCAGCACAGTTACCTTCATTGCCTGCCTGCAAGGGCCCCACCCCAGCCTGTGTGTACCACATGGTCTGCTCTGAAGGCTCTGCTGTAACAGCAAAAATTGCTGGGTGTCCTTTTCTAAGTAAACAGGAAATAGCACTCTGCTTTAAAAAAAAAAAAAAATCCTTCTCCTCAGCAGAACTGTAATAATATGCCAACATATATTTCCTGCTAAAGCTACACTCAGAGCAGGGTCTGTTTCTTTCAATAGTCTTTTTTTTTTTTTTCTTAGTATCTGAACCTTCAGTGAACAGCCTCTCGAGGAAGCCTGGCCAATGAGCACATTTTAGCAATTCTTCCGCTGCTAATCTCGGGGAAGCAGCATCCCAGGACAGATAACAATGCATGGAAAATAAACCAGCGCAAAACACATGGACAGGGAAGACGATGTGCATCTAAATGTCAAGTCACAGCAACAGGTTGTGTTCTGATATTTGACCACTTTTCTAGACAAGAAAAATCCAAAGCCTTGAGTCTATCCAGAGATGCGACCCAGGGCAGGAGAAGGAAGTGCACAGACGTGACTTTTGCTCCCGTCACATCAGGACCTGGGTTCGTGTGTCAGGCAGGCGCAGCCCCACGAGTCCTCCGCACACGAGTACGGTAGAGGCCAGCAGGATGGGGATGGCTTTGGTGATGCCCACCAGAGAGCCGAATATGAGGTTACCCAGCACGGCTGCCGCTTTGCAGAGTGCGTTCAGGAATCCAAAGCCTGTTGCCCTGTTGGGGAAGAAACAGTGATAAGGTTCAGCAGTTACTCCAGGTCCCCAGCATTCATCCTGCGTGGCAACTGTCTGACCCTGCTAGGGCAAGAGTGAAATGCTTGTTAGCTGGCAAATGTGGGCTGGCAAAACTCAGCTGTTGCTGTTGCTTGTTCCTGCTGCCTTCCGTAGCTTCTCCTAGCACCTCTTTGTTTTTTTCTTTTTTTAATTTTAGGGAAGGGTCTATAGAGTGTACAGGGTCTCACTACTAGATTGGACTCGTAGTGATCTGCCTGTTTACAGCCTCCCAAGAGCTGGGATTACAGGCGTGCACCACCATGCCTAGTCTCAAGTGCTGTCTCAGTGTGCCCTGGGGGCAGGGCCAGCACAGTAGGCCCGGGGATCAAACCCCTGTCCCTGCACCTGCTTGCAGGCACTTTAATCCACTGAGCTATTTGTCTGGCCCACCTCTTTGTGTTCTTATTCTGACCATTGGTTCCAATTCACTATGAACAGTAAGACAAAGGGGATTTCAGAGCCTAAGAGAAGTCTTTTTTGTCTTGGCCAGTGGTACTGAAAGAAAGGATCTCTTACATCAAAAATAACCTCACCCCATCCAAACCTTGCGCTCAGGAGAAAAGTAGGCAGGGAGCAGAGTTCATAAGAGGGACACATCTATCACATTCTCTCTCAGGGTGGGAGAAGGTGGACCCCTGCCTGTGAGCCCAGGTGGGGAGGGGGCAATCCGTACATTTTCACCAAGTGACTCCTCTGACACCGGGAAGAGTAGAAGAACCTTGACCTGGCTGAGCTGGTGACCACCAAAGAGCTACTAGAAGGAATCAGGCTGTAGGCCTAGAGATATTATTTTCTGGCTTCTCTGCATTCAAGATGGGTGTATGTGTTTGTGTGCACAGGGGATGAACATAGAGCCTCATGCATGCCAACCCTGTGTTCTGCCACTGAGTTCCAACTCCAGCCCCCACGTCCCATCTCTTGCCAGTCTTTGGAAAGGATAAAATCTTTTATTATTATTTTTTTTTTCAGGGTGAGATAGGGAAGTGGTAGACCTGGGGATTGAACCCAGGACCATGCATATACTAGACAAGCACCATACCACTGAGCCACCCCAGCCCTGCTACCCTTAGTACGTAAGTGATACCACTGTGGTCTTCTCGGCAAGAGGCTAAGTTTTGCGCATGATCATACATCTCACCTGACATCATAGGAACATGAATTTCCTTCTGAATTTCTGTCAATTTCCCTCCTTCTTGGCTTTCCCTGGGTACTCATGAGTATTAAGTGCAGGACAACTTTTGGATAGCCAGGGGCCAGAGAGATGGCTCAGCCGAATAAGTGCTTCCCTGGCAAGCACAAGAGCCTGAGTCCAATCCCCAGTTCAGCCAAAACAACAGCAACAACACAAACAAACAAACAAACAAACAAACAAAAAGCCTTTTGGATAGCCCTTTTCTCTAACCACAAAGGGAAATGCGTCTTATGTACTTCAAGGTTAAGCACTTAGCGTCTCTTTGATGGGTACATTTGTGTGGGTTTTCCTTTGGCAAGTTCTGCAACTACTCATCACTATTTGTCCTAGTCCCCATGCTATTTCTGATTGTGTGTGGGCCCCCTCAACTTCAGAGATTCGTGTGGTTATTATCCACCCCGCCCCCTCCCCACTGCAGGAAGGGATCCACCCTCCTGGCCGAGCAGCACGGGACCAGTCCCTGCATGAACAACTGCTCTGACGGAAACACAGCTGGCACAGGGGAGTAGTGCCGGGTTCTTCTTTTGGCCAAGATGCCCAGAAAGCAGACCGAGCCAGCTCCCTGGGGTGGCAGCGCTGCCAACTGTTCAGAGGGAGGAAGGAGCAAAGTGACATCTCTGATGACAAGAAACGAGGCTTTCTGGAGAAGAGGGTTAGCTAATTTTGTGGGGGTTTTTCTTAAGAAAGAGACTAGTAATATCAATAACTACCCCCAAAATGAGACTTAACAGACTGATGACTATTTTCAAGTGAAATTGCTTGGGTTATGTGGTTGGTACCAAAGGAGACTTAAGTAGAGGGACAACATGGTCCCTCTCCTCCCACTCCAGGGAGAGGATGGCACCTGGCTGAGAAGGCTATTTATGCTCTCTCCCAGGATTATTAAACCTGGGGCAAGGCAGATTAGGTTTATAACTTAGCTCATGTGGGCTCCTGTCTCCACAATGGACTTCAGGGATTGCTACAGCACATTTACTAAAACTGATTTTACATACACACACACACACACACACACACACACACACACACACACACACAAACACACACACACACACACGTGCATGTTCAAGTACTGGAGACTGAACAGGACCTGGCCCACTCTGGCCAAGTGCTCCCCACCCCTAAACTATACCCCCCCCAAGCATTTCCTAAACTTTTGTGGCAAAGTCTTGCTCAAGTGCCTAGGCCTGCTTTAAATTTAGGATGCTCCTGCCTCAGCCTCCCAGGCAGCTGGGATTACACGTGTGCATCACCACACCTGGCCATGACAAGCTAGCACCAGCTCACTAACACACTGCTGGTACTAGGGCTCCCTGTGGGTGGTGGACCTCCCATGAATCTTGACAAATGCACAGTGACATGTGTCTGTCATCAATGTCATACAGAATAAGAAACATCTCGGAGCTCCGTGTGTACCCTTCCTCCTCCACTTCCTGTCAGCACTGATCTTCCTGTCTCCATGGTGTCTCCTGCCTCCAAAGGTCACTTGGTTGAAGTAACACAGCCTGAAGCCCTGACTGGCTTCTTTCAACTTTTTAAAAACTCCAGTCCAGCTTGTGGATTCCAGATCGTGAACTCCCAACCCCATCTTACAGTGTATTCCTGGGGAAAGCCTAGTGTGCTTGCTGCTGATAAGAGAAACAAGAACGCGCTCCAGTCACGGAGCCATGACCTCTCGTATCACTCAGGACAGGCGATAAATTGTGGGCAGCTATCTCCTGTGTCACTGAAATTGTGACCAAGGAGGGGACAACTTGCCAAGCCATGAGGGCAGCAGGAGAGACGCATGCATCAGAAGCATCTGCTGCACGAGCCTTCTACAGAGACCATCAAATTCTTACTGCTTATGGGTCTCCCTCCTTTCCCAAGTGGGGGCAGAACTTCAGATGACAATCGGGACAAAGCACACAGCCTCCTTGCAATTATTCTGGCATTCAGAAAACACGCCTGGCCTGGCCTCAGATGACACAGACTTCCCTCAGTGTTCGCAGCTGGAGGCCTGATGCCCACTGCATCGGTTCGACCTACATTGGAGAAGTCACTTACACAGGGACTCGGCCCCAGGGCACCTGTTTTTAGTACAGTAAAAAGCTTTCAGTGCATGACTCCATGTTTTTACTTAAAGTAAGGAAAACAAAGACAAGTCACCTTGTGCTCATAAAGTCTTTTGCGGGTGGGGAGCTCAGAGTTTGCAAAGCCCCCTTTATTGCTCCTTCCCAGCAGAGTGAGTGCCTGCATTTTTTCTCAGACAAAAGCTACTTTCTTGCCTCTCCTTCCCAGCAAATGGCACACAGGAAAAATACAACCACCTGTTATCTTTCTGTAAGCCTCCTCCTTTGCTCCTCATCTCTCCAGGAAGAGCCCTTAGTTCTCAATTATTGTCAAGCTGCTTAAAGTATTTCAGGGCACCCAGGCAGGATGCTGCACACCTGTAATCTCAGCACCTGGGAGACCGAGGCAGGAGGGTCTTGGGTTTGAGGGGAGACTGAGGCAGGAGTGTTTTAGGCTTGAGGCCAGCCTCAGTTGCGTAGCAAGTTCAAGGACAATCTGGATCCTGGCAAGATCCTGTCTCAAAGAAAAAAAAGTACAGATCCCCAAACAGTCACTCAGAATCCCTCACACTCCATGTGGTGGCGGTGCCTGAGACCCATGGGTAGGGTGGTTTGTGGCAGCGATCTGCTAACCTGGGACGTGGCGAGGGGCATGCCCTCAGTGTAGCTGGTCGGTGGCTCCTTTCTGGGGGTTCACACTTTGGTGGGGTTTGCTTTATTTATGCTACTTTCTGCTTTTCCTGGAGGAGGAGGCTGCTAGCTCTTCCTGTGCAGACTGAGGCCAGCAGGGTCATCAATCACATCAGCCAATACCTTTTCATTTTTTTCTGGGTGAGGGTAAAACCAGCTTCCTGAGTTTTGTTTTGTAAGAAAAGGATTGAAGAATACTGGCACTTAGAAGAGTGCCAGCCTGCAGCAGGCATCCTGTGAGCTGTGGCCATCATTTGAAACACTGGTGGAATATTTACCCTACTGACTCATGAAATCATTAGAGAAAACAAAATTAGTATTGCATTCTGAAAAGCCCTGAGCCAGGGCAGATGGGGTGGCACATACTGTGACCCTAGCACTCAGGAGGCTGAGGCAGGAGTATTGCCTCGAGCTGGAGGTCTCCCTCATCTCAAAATGCAAAGAAAAAAGAAATGGAGTAAATCCAAACTGCTCATTACTGCCTGCTCGATTTGCCTGCTCCAGGGTAGCACGGGAGCATTCTAGTTTTTGTTTTCCTTTGGCTTCAACTTTGGAAGAGGAGCCTTTTGTGATAATGTAGTCAGATGTTTGGGAGAAGTTTGGGAAGGACTGTGCAGGACTCAGCACGGGGCATTTGGGAAAGTAGCGGCAGCCTCAAATCTAAAATGCATCGGTGATCTAAAGAGCCATCTGGGGCTGGGGGTGGCCAGTGGCAGTGCTCTTGCCTGTCATGTGTCATGCTAGATGTGCTGAGTTTTGTCCCAGCGCTGCAAAAAAAAAAAAATAGCCATCAGGAAGTCAGGGACTCGAAACAGAAGGAATTCCACTCATTTCACAGACAGCACTGCACATAAAGGCCACGGTCCCACGCTGATGGGACACAGTGGCTTCACAGTGAGCCCAAGGGAGCTGCAGGACTGAAACACGCTCAACGCTTCACCTGTTTTTGTGGTACTGGGAACTGACTACAGGGCCACTGTCACTAAGCCACATACCTAACCCTTTCTAGTTTTTGTTTGGAGACTGAGCCTTACTAAATTGTCCTGGCTGGGCTTGGACTCTGGGCTCAAATTAGCAATCCTGCTGCCTGGATATCTCAGATAGCTGGGATTACAGGTGTGTGCCACCATGCCTGTCCCCTTCATTAAGTATTTATGCACACATTGACCGTACAGATCAGGTCATCTAGCAGGCCTGCTGCGCAGGCGCAGGGGTGCGGCGCAGGCGCAGCTGCAAAGGGCAGGCTTCTCAGAGGGTGCGCAGGGCTGGTCCCAGGGAGTAGGAGTAGCTCACCTGTTGCAGAGGAAAATGTGAACATTTCCTTTTGTTTCAACTCTGGCATTGGGCCAGGGTGTGGCTTGCCTGGCTTCACCTGATTCAACGTACGCACTCAGGACTGCAGCAGACGCCCCCAAAGGCCTTTTGAGGGCCAAATGGCTGACCTCACGCCGACTCGACATACTTTTGGCTCCCCGAGGCTTCTGCTCACCTGGGCTGAGGATGGATTTCTGAGCACTGGGACGTGGATGCGTCTCACCGTGCTCGCCAGGCTGGGAGCTTTGGAAACAGCCCTGTGCTTGGGGTTGGGAAGGAGCTCAGTGGTGCAGGGTCCCGATGCACCGCAAGCCACATGGAAACCAGCATTGGGTAGCAACGCTGGGCCATGCTTTGTTGCCGGGAGTTTGGGCTTTATTGCTTTACTTGGGGCTTAAGTGTTGGTATTTTTTAGAATTACCAAGTGACATCCCAGAGATGTCTGCATCTTAAAACTGATTGGCATTCACTATTATATACTGAAAGACTTTACAAAAATATCTATTGTAGGCTACATGAGATTCTGTCTCAAATGCAAAAACAAAGCAAAACAAAATAAAACAACCCTAAATACAGTGCTCATCTCTCAGTCGCTGTGAGCACCCTTGCAGCCAAGCAGAGCCTCAGGAATGAGAGGCTTCCCACATTCGCTCTCAGGTCAGGTCGGCTTCTCGCCTACCCTCATCAATCTTTCTCTCAGCCCTCACTCAGTCGCCCGACTGAGCTTCACTGCACATGGGGCCAGGCCTGGGCATCCCCTGCTCTAGAATGATCCCGGTCTGGTCCTGGCCATGTCTGGAAGGGCTGAGTAGTCCCTGACACAATGGCAGAGCCCTACCCAGGGCAGTACCTGCCCGGGGCAGCTGGAGGTACTCGCTAAAGGAAAAGCTGACCTGAGGATTTCCAGAGAGCTTCTAAAAATGTTGGAAGTAAATTTATGTCATGGACATTTAAAAAATCTTTTTGTATTTATTTATTTACTTATTTATTTATTTATTTATTTACGTGGTACAGAATCTTGCTACACAGCTCAGACTCATAGTGATCCTTCTGTCTCAGCTTCAGTGCTGGGATTATAGTTATGCGCCACCATGCCTGGTTTCTGTGACTGGTGCAGCACACCCAGGGTTTAGGGGCAGGCAAGGCATGTGGTACTGGGGATCAAACCTGGGTCCATGCACTTGCCAGGCAGAGGCTTAGACTGTTGAGCTATCTTCCTAGCCTGTCATGGACATTTTAAGGACCACAGTTTGGGTGATATTTATGATGTCATATTATTATCCTGTTATTTTGGAGGGAAAAAAAAAAAACCAAAATACATTCCACATTCTTATCAGAAAAGACTGAATTGAGTTGCTCTCTATTCCTAAAAGGAAAATCTCCTAGGGGATGGGGGGCTGGGGCAGCCATGTCCTTCATGCAGGTAGGCAGCATCCTTACCTCTGTGAGCCTGGCTTCCTTCCCACACAGGTACCTCCCCACCCCCAGGCTCCAGGTTGAGCAGAGTCCCAGGACCCAGTGTGCCCTCCCCACCCTAGCCATCCAGGGGCTTCCAATTGCTAGCTCCTGTTGAAATCAGAACCTGTGACCAGACTGGCCACA